AATAATTGCTATCAGGACTGACTGTGAGGGTTGGAAATGTAAAGGTAGACGTTTTGTAGCAAAAAGAGGGGAGTGGTTGACTTTGCAGCTCAAAAGCAGAGGTCGCTGGGACCATATATCAAAGGAGAATAGCGGAATATGGGACCCTACCCCAGAGAAACGGTGATGCCAGAGATGGATACAGAAGAGACGATGACATGGAGATGGAGCAGCTGGGGACTCTAGACCCAGAGAGAGAGAGGGAGAGGGGCTGTGTGCTAATGACCAGGGGGCAGGTGTGCGGGGTATACCCTATGGTTGTTTGATGATGTATGCAAGGAGGGGATTGTAATCACGGCAATGTAAAGATATACAACAGGATGAATGTAAAGCTAATGTTCTCCCATGTAAACTATCACATAATTCACAATAAAACAACAAAAAAATTATATTTATGATATCAAATCCTTTTATTCAATGTTGTTGTTGGTAAGTGCTATAGGGCCAGTTTCAACTCATAGCAACCCCATACAGCGCTTCTAGAGAGAGACTGGTGAGTCTGAACTGCCGACTTAAATAAGTCACACAAATGAGGTAAAATTTGATTTTGCCAAAAATTAAAGCTTCCTTTCTTGGATAAATGAAAGATTACCAATAGGCACTTATTAAGAAGGCCTTGACATAGCAGACATTGGTTTCTTTTTTACTGAAGTTATTTTCATATAATGTAGTATTAGCCACCTTAAAGCATAATTAGACACTGAATACATTCAAGATGTTGTCCAACATCCTGTTTCATTAGCCCATCCAAAAAAGCTCCATACCCATTCATCAGCTAGTCCCCAATCCCACCACCCTTTGCACCTAGCAACCACAACTCCTATGCTATACACGCAAATGAAATAAAAACAAGTATTCAAGTAAATACTTGTGTATGACTGTTCACAGAAGTGCAATTCACAACAGCCAAAGATGGAAACCACTCAAATGTTCATCAACAAGTGAATGGATAAATAAACTGTGCTATTACTTAACACATTGTAATATTACTTAGCTATAAAATGGAATCAAGTATTGATACATGGTTACAAAGTGGATGAGCCTCAACATTATGCTAAATGAAAGAAGCCAGACATAATAGGCCAAATATTATGATTCAGTGACAAAAAGGAAAGCAGTAGTTGCCAGGAGTGTAAGACTTAAGATTAAGAGGATGGGGAATGAGTATGACTTTTCTTTTTGAATGATCACCAATCAGAGTCCTTCTGTGGATAATGAGTTGACCATGAAAACTACTGAAGGGAAGCAATAAATAAACAAGTAAATAAATTCTGTCTTACTGAAAATTATAGGACAAATAATTGAAGACTGAAACAATATATTCCAATGTCACATAATTATGCAGTAACCGTAGAACAGTTATTGTCTCTTCCTTTTAATGATATGAGTTATTGAATTCAAGTTAAAAACATATTCAAACATTAAAAGTGAGTATCTATGAATATAAAATAAAGAAATGTACCTACCTGGGCCACTCAACATGGCTTTTATTGTTCCTGATGTTAGTGCATGTTCTCTTTTTACAATAAATTCATGACCATCAGAAGATATCAATTTGACATACATGGCATCTGGGCCTTCACAGCCACCATAAGTTTTCTCCTCTCCATCTAAAGTATAGGAGCGAAATAATTTTTTAATCATATAATTTATTAAAAATAAACACAAATTGTGTGATAGATACATTTACAAAGATGACCAAAAAAACTACGGAGGCCGAGTATGTATAACCAAATACCTCATGGAGATTTGGCTTCTTTGTTTCGAGGTTAAGCGTCATGACTTCAAGAGATATCCCAGTTAACTGGCCTAATAACATGTTTTGTGCTTGTATTCCACTTCCTAATTTGTTGTGTAGTGCCTCGGGTCTTAAAAGCTGGCAAACAGCCATTTAAAGCACAACAATTGGTTTCTATTCACTTAGAGTAACAGAGGAAGAAAGACAAGAATAGGAGTACATGATGAATTGCCTCCATGACCAAAACTATCTTCTCTGTCATGAGACCACAATATCTTACAAAACTTTTTATCAAAGATTCTATAGAAGAATCCTATTAGAAGGGGGAAAAAAACCACAATTTTTTATTCACAGAGAATCCAGTCCTTCCAGAGTCAGGGGGCTAGACGAACCCCTGAAACTAATGCCCTAAGATAATCTTTAACCCTTGAACCAAAAATATCCCTTATGTTTTCTTAAAACCAAATAGTTAAACTAGTAAGGAAGATCTGTCTGAGCATTATGCTCTTTTAAGATCTATTTATATGGATCAAATTGACAGCAACAACTCAGAAAACTTAGGGGACAGTGAGTTTATGTTAATGGGAAAGGAATAAATTGGAAAAGGAGGGTGAGAAGGTAATCAATGTCAGTGAACTGTACATGAAGAAACTTTGCACATTTTTCTGTATATATTTCAACAGCAATAATTATTTATATAACTTTTACCAAAGTTAGTATCTGGGGTACTAAGAAACAGAAGTATTTCTGGCAGATAATAGTTAACCAGATTCAAAGGCTTAAAATTCTAGAAATAGAAACCTGGTCCTGACTTTTTTTGTGTATGTACTATCGAGTCAGTTCCAACCCTTAGCGACACTGTAAAGGATTTCCTAGGAGCGTCTGGTGAGCTTGAATCGCCGATCTTGTGGTTCAAAGCAACTTCGCAGTCCAATACATTTACCCACAGCGCTACATCAGATCCTGACTATAACTATGGAACATTTAAGCTATCCTTTGATAAGAAACGACACTACCGAACTGTCTCATTTATTACTTGCATTCTACTTCTTCAACAGTTAAACTTTTCAGTTATGTGGTAACTCATTAGCAAATAGGTTCCTATTTAATGTAGTGGCTTAGGGAATGGACTCTGGAGTAGAATTGCTTGTCTTCAAGTCTGGACTCAGACTCTCAGCAACTTATTTACCCCTTTGTGATTTGGTCACCTCACTTTAAAAATTTAGCTAATACAAAAAAAAAAAAAAATTTTTAAGTTAATACCAGATTTGTTGCTGTTGTTACGTGCCATTAAGTAGTTTTTGACTCATAGCAACCCTGTATAGGGTTTCTGAGGAGGTGCTGAGCTTGAACTGCCAACCTGTGGTTCAAACCGACCTTGAAGTGCAGTGCATTAACCCGTAGCACCATACCAGGACTCCTAATACACAGTTAAAACAGTGTCTGCCATCCATCCATCCACACACAGACAAACAAATGTTATGTGCTTGGAAGTAACGCTACGTTACTGATTTATGTCAAGTATAGATAATTGGAGGAATCCTGGTGGTTAAGTGCTTGGTTGTTAGTTGAAAGGTCAGCAGGTTCAACTCAGAAGCCACTGCTGGAGAAAAATATGGCAGTCTGCTACTGTACTCGGAAACCTACTCTGTCCTCTAGGGTCTCTAGGAGTTGAAAATGACTTGGCACAATCAGTTTTCTTTCTCTTTTTTTTCATAGATAATTGGCACCTACAGAGTCTCAAGTCATGGTATTTTCAATCACCTCATATGCATGCGAAAGCTGGATAGTGAATATGGAAGACCGTACAAGAATTGATGCATTTGACTTATGGTGTTGGAGAAGAATATTGAAAGCGCCATGGGCTGACAAAAGAACCAATAGATTTGTTTTGGAAGAAGTGCAGCCAGAGTGCTCCTTGGAGACCAAGATGGCCAAACTTCGTCTCTTATACTTAGGACACATTGTCAGGATGGACAAGTTGCTGGAGAAGGATATCATGTTTGGTAAGGGGGAGGGCCAGAGAAAAAGAAGAAGACCCCCAACATGATGGATTGGTCAAGTGGCAGCACTGATGGACTCAAGTGTGGCAACTGTAGTGAGGTTGGCCCAGGATTGGGCAGTGTTTCATTCTGCTGTGCATAGGGTCGCTATGAGTCGGTACCGACTCGATGGCACCTAACAACAACAACAGAGTCGCAAAATGAAGATATTTCCATATGCTTTTTAACTGGGAATATCTGAAAGTGTTGA